GGAAGCTGGCCCAAGCCTGGGCATGGATGCCAGGGTTTTTATCGGGCTCAGTCACATCACCAAAACCTGGCACATCACCAAAACCTGATTCCCAGAAAGAAAACAAGTGTTCAACATAAACCCTATTACTTGTACAAACATCTCAGACACAGTAAATAACTCTTGTCAGTTTAAGAAATGGGGGAAATATTCATAAATCCTCATTGCTGGACATTGGCTGAAGGCGACCTTGCACACAGGCCTTCATAAGGATAACAGGCTCAGGCCTGTTATGTTAACCCTTTTCCGCACACCATCTGTGAAATATTCAGCAACTGGTGGCCTGTGCCAAGCAATGCATGGATCCTACACACAGACCAGGATGTCAGCCTCTTTCCCCTCCAGGTGGGAGATGAACCAGTTCCTAATCTATGAACCTGTTTCCTCAGCTTTCACTCCTGGTCCACTGCGTTAGTCTGGGTCCTTTAAAAAGCAGACACCAAGACCAAGGAGGGCTCAGCCGTGTCAAGGGTTAAAAAAGGACAACGCGGATGAGGAAAAATCAGGAGGGAGCTGGGGTTGGTCCGGGCTGGGAGGCAACCAGATCTCACGCAGGCCTGACCCCAGGTGAATGAAAGGAGGCAGGAAGCCTGGGGGGGAAGCAACTTAAAAAACGTTAGGGAGTCTGGGAAGGTGGTCAGGGAATCAATCCAACGTCAAGAAGCCTTAGGCTCCCTCTAGAGATCAGTGGTTGGCAGGCAGCAGCTTGGAGAAGCAGCAATAGCTTGCGGAGTGCAGCAGGGGGCGCCCTCCTGGGGATGACAGATGCTTCCTCATGGCTGCCACAGCAGTGACCACAGAGCTCACAATACACCTGGGAAAGATTTATTCTCCAACCAACCCTTAGCACCAACACAGTCATTGGTAACACCTTTTGTTAAAAAAAAATTGTAATCCTACATAACATAGAATGTTAACAATGAGAATACAAATAATCTTTTACATTTCATAAACTCAACAATCTAACATGGTATTGTTCTGGAAAAAGACTTTTCCAAATTACTTGTTTAATTAGGAGCTTAAACGGATACATAGTCACCATTATTTCATTAGGACTAAATCAAGGTTAGTCCATGACAAAAAATAATTACTTTTAAATGTTCATAACAAGTGATACTCCTGAAAAAAAGGTAAAAGCAAACAAAACTGAGCCATGTTTACAGAAGTTTCTAAAAATGACTTTACAAATAATTTGGGAACTTCTAAATTATATCTGCTTAGATGATAAAATAGAATACCCTCTTACTATCTAGTAGGGTTATTTTCTAATTATCAGTGTCATCCTCACAGATAACAATGGCTATCAATTTTTTAATACAAACCCAACCCAAGGAGACTAGTTTTTGCCATTTGCTAAGTTCCAACAGAAGCCGGTCCTACAGTTGCACCAGCAGTTCCTTCCAACCAAACTTGTTTTTTGTTTTGTTTTAAAATATACTTTTATTGCTGGAACCTGTTTGGCTCATTGGATAGAGCGTTGGTCTGCGGACTGAAGGGTCCAAGGTTCGATTCCGGTCAAGGGCATGTACCTTGGTTGCGGGCACATCCCCAGTGGGGGGTGTGCAGGAGGCAGCTGATGGATGTTTCTCTCTCATCTCATCAATGTTTCTAACTCTCTATCCCTCTCCCTTCCTATCTGTAAAAAATCAATAAAATATATTTTTTAAAAATAAAATATACTTTTATTGATTTCAGAGAGGAAGAGAGGATAGAAACATCCATGATGAGAGAGAATCATTGATCGGCTGCCTCCTGCATGCCTCCAGAGGGGATCAAGCCTGCAACCCAAGCATGTGCCTTGACCGGGAATCAAACTGTGCCCTCCTGTTTCATAGGTCAATCTCAACCTGTGAGCCACACCAATATGTTTATGACTAGCTCAGATTAAACAGTTCCTTAGATGAGTTAATTCCTACCCCAAAAAATTGTTCTACCACAGTAACTAGGTTCAGGCCTTGTATGAACTTTATGACTTGTTGGTACAAATAATAGAAGCTACTAGAAATAGCAAACCAAAGTATTTAATGTGAAACAAAATTCATTAAAAAATTGAGATTGATACCATTTGTAATGTAGAAGATGCCATCTTTATTTACAGGCCAATAAAAAAATAATGAACTCAACTTAACTAGATATAATACATTTGTCATAAATCCTATAGATCGGAGGCTGAGCCTAAGTGGAAGACCGGATAGGCGGAATAGGACATCAACTATAGGAAGGATGTCAAATAATGTGCAACTTAGGCCGAATTAATACATTTTGTTTCCAAACAGAAAAACAAAGTAAGCTCACTATGGGGGGGAGTGAAACCGGCACCGAGACAAACTGTGCTAACTTTTTTGACAACTGTTCAGTATAATCACCAAGACTCACAAATTTTCAGCTCTATAAATCTCTTAAGTAAGTCCAATGACCTAACCGTTGTTTTTCTGACATATTCACAACAGATACTGTAGAGGAGGATTTAGAGGTTGAACTGTAACAGCCGTCACACTGTACTGAACATTATTTTCCTCAGCTACTCTGAGTGTGCAGTGGTTCCTTTCCTTTCCACTGACTGTGCCACAGCTCTCTCCTGACGTTTGGGTTTGCCCCAGAAACTTCGGTATTGTGAGTTTCTTTCCTGTACATGTGAGAATAAAAAATTGCTTCTCATTCAGTCCTTCGGAAAAAGTCTGTAATTCTTAAAAGACCTTATATCCAAAATGAACTTTTAACAGGGCGGTTTCTGAACATGTCAGGAAGCTCACCGTAGCATCTGAGCGACAGTGCTCTCACGTAGGCGTGCAAACCAAGGTGCAGCAGGAATGAAAAGGGCACTGAGCCGTGCTAGTTTAATTTTAAACTACCTGGACATTTTTTCATTCTGTTCATCCACCCTTGAAAGGAGTTATATCATAATCATCTCTCACAATCCTTTTATTACAAAGCATCTTTATAGATATGCCAACTGAAGGCCCTAAAAAAAATTCTTCATAGAATCAGTAGATAGTGTTTGAAAATCACAAAGTTCTAGCTAATAGTTCCTAAGAATTCAGTTGTAGATATTCTCTGAGGAGGAAAAAATGCCAGTCATACCATTCTAGACTGTTTAAAAACAAACAACAACAACAAAAAAAACATGGTTTTGAGTCACACACAAAACATTTTCAGACTTGCTACAATGTACATTTTCTTGGCTATGTGAGTAGCCAGCGTGCAGATCTCAAGTCATGCATGGGGATACGGGTCTGCAGCTGAGGGGATGCATAAGGAAAAGGCATTTGTTTTCTTTATGGAGGCCTAGCCTAGCTTGTCAGAAGCAAACAACAACAGGTAGCTTGCTTATTCAGCTGTGCAATTAAATACTAGCTCTTACTTAGAGGCATCTTTATCCTACAAGGTATTGTAGTATCAGTAACAATATATACTATGAAGTGCATTTCTATTACAAATTAACATGGAGATATACAGATGAATAAAACCACCAAAACAAATAATAAATGAACAATAGTTAAAACATAAAATTTATAAATAGCAAAACCACCAAATAAAGTATATACATTTTATAGATTTACTTATGAACAAATACATATAGTGTATCTAGGAAAGACAAGAAAATGGGTGTGTTATATCACATGGCATCTGGATATTAGAAATTAAGAACTGATAATACTCTAAAGGCCTGGCAGGCTTTCTCTCCCCCCATCCCCTCCAAATAGTCCCTTAAATGTATATCCTTTAAACAGTGATACTGTCAAAACTATCACCTCTTTAAAAGTAATATTTTCACTTTCCCCAACAAGGTACAGTGGCTGCAAGAACAGTAAATGAGAGAGCACTACTCCATACTCAATACTGGGATAAGAAAATTTGCACATCAGGAGTTTGCATTTGAAAAGCCCTTTAGTCAAACATACACTGATGTGGAAAGCCAACCAGAAAAATTACTGTATGAAAACATCTTTACTTTATCTTTCCTACCAGTGCCTCCGCTTTTTAGGTGACTTGGCAAACGAGTCACTCTGAGGGAAAAATGCTGTTAGAATGCAATAGATTTTGTTGAAATAATAAATTTGAGCTTTGACTGCCAGAACAATGTATTTGTAAGTGCCAGGACTATCACAGCAAGACACATTTTATAACTCAAAATGTACAAAACTGTCTTTTGTAGATCCCAGAAAAAAAAAAAGCACTTTAGACTACACAGTAATAATGTAATGCTCCAATACCATGCACAGAGATCAACATAATTGGGAACAAAGAATTTACACTTATCTGCATCTCTTTTGAAAGATCAGAAAAGTACAATATACAGTAACTACAGAAACGATTTCAGTGCAGCACTGATAAGGATTGCTTAAAGAAAACTATTTTGTACTGCATTGCATAGAGCTGAATGGCAAACTCGTCATAATAAATGATCATCAAGAACTGATTTATATATCAGGATGCAAAATAAAATTTTAAAAAAAACCAAAGCCATTCTTTCAGTTAAAAAAAACAATTAAGTCCAGCCTACATTTCTGCAATTCATTGAGTCAAGTTTTGTCTTTTGAAACACCACACTTGACATTCTGGAAAATATAACAAGAATTCATTTATTCTCTTGGATTTAAAGGCTATTTCTTAATAAAATACTGGTTAGCACTATCTCCTCTACTAAGTGAGAGAGGAACCAAATAAAACAGTAGTGCTTCATTTGGTACTTAAGAGCCTAGTAATATCCCTTTGGGAAATACATGCTTTGGTGCTTTACAATTTTTTAAGAAAATCGAAATTGCTTTACATGCAATAGCCAATTATGATATACCACAGAATCAGGGATCCAGGCGTTTAGAATTGTTCACATGAAGCCCCGAGGTACCCGCCTTTCATTGGCCAACAAACAGCCTCCCTTGAGCTTGTAGTCTTTGTCGCCATCTTCCCTAGTGCCCCAAGTTCAGAATAGTCTGATTTACAAATTGGGGATAGTCAGTTTAACAAGACTTTCTCTGATACAGACTGTGCAGGTCATCTAACTTAGAAGCACTGTCTTCTATCGGAGTTTCCCTCGAAGGTCCCAGGTCTCCATTTTCATGCCCATCAGTTACTGCCTTCTTATTAAATCCTAAAAAAAAGGGAAAAAATGCTTGTTACTTTCTAGTCTAAAAAAAAAGGGGGGGGGGGGGGGTTGTGATTCTATTGAGCCAAAACAAAGAAATGATGCCCACTGTAATTAAAAGTATTATTGGCCCAGCTGGGGTGGCTCAGTGGATTGAGTGTCATCCCACGAACCAAGAGATTGCTGGTTCGATTCCCAGTCAGAGCACATGCCTGGACTGTGGACTCGATCCCTAGTAGGGGTCTTGCAGGAGGCAGCTGATGGATGTTTCTCTTTCTCTCTAAAACCAATAAAAACATTTTTTAAAAAGTGTAACTGGAGAACATCTGAGGCTTTTATATTTTTAATTTTTATTAATAATAACTTTTAGAGATTTTTACCTTGTAACACTTTGACTTCCCCGCCTGTGTCTTTGCAAGTGGCACCAGGATTACTACCTCCTTCTAACTCATCTAAGTATAAACGGTAACGATGTCCACTCTCATCTTCATACTCTACGTTTTCATCATCAGAATCCACTTCAGGAGCTACATAAACTACTTCAAATTCAATCTCTCCTCTCTAAAATGGAGAAAGAAAATAAGGAAGTCAAGTTATTGTAATTGTAATTAAAAAAGGATTTCTAAATTATTTGGGGTGGTGGATAGAGATGAAGAACAGTAGTCAGACCTCAGATGTAGCTTCCTTTCAAGGCAACAAATGACAGTTTAGAATCTCAAGAAGTAAAAGAGAGCTTAGTCCTAACCGCTTTGGCTCAGTGGATAGAGTGTCAGCTTGCGGAATCAAGGGTCCCAGGTTTGAATCCTGTAAAGGGCATGTACCTTGGTTGCGAGCACATCCCCAGTAGGGGGTGTGCAGGAAGCAGCTGATTAATGTTCCTCTCTCATCAATGTTTCTCTCTCTCCCTTTCCCTTTCTTTCTGTAAAAATATCAATAAAATCTATTAAAAAAGAGAGAGAGCTTAGAGGCCATTCCAAACCAACTTCACAAATCTTCTCTAAATTCTTTTTAATATTACAGTAGTTCTTTCTACTGATCACAATATTTTTTTTTATATATCTAAAAAAAAAAAAAAAAAAAGGATGCTCAACTATTCAATTTATAGAATTCTGGAACAAATGTTCAGTTTAAGTCATTTTGCCATTTTGTACTTTACACAGCAATTCAGCAAATCCATCTAAATAGATATTAAATAAAGGTGCACCTAAAGGCACCACACAAACTTTTCCTTATCTAATTTAGCAAACCTCTACATAATGATTATGTTTCTTACTGACTAGGACTGAGTCTTAACTTTCACTGAGTACCAGACACAGTGTTATTCAAGGTATTCTGTCAGAAATAATAGTAATGACCATATTTATTATGCAAAATTATATCCTTTAGTTCTCAGAAAATCACTATTGTAGCCTCTTTTTCATGAATGAAAAACCTGAAAGTCCTGGAGAAAGCAGATAGCTTCTAATATAATAAACAAGTAAAATATAAAAATAGAAATTTGACTCCAAAGTCCTGCTCTTTCTACCATACTCCACTAAATGTGTAACATTTATACAATTAATTATTCTTTAGTAACAACTTTAGGTGCAAGTAAAAAATTACAGATTATACATTATGTTAGAATATTCCAAGTTATAATCATCCTATATAATAAAAGGGTAACATGCAAACTGACTGAACTGTGGAACGACTGGTCACTATGATGCACACTGACCACCAGGGGGCAGGCGCTGAACACAGGAGCTGCCCCCTGGTGGTCAGTGCACTCCCATCAAGGGCTCCCCCGAGGGCTCCCAGACTGCAAGAGAATACAGGCTGGGCTGAGGAACCCCTCCCACTCCCAAGTAGACGAATCTCATGCACTGAGCCTCTAGTCATTTAATAAGAGACTACGATCATTACACACAAATCTGGTATTTGCGACTGTCTGAAAATTATGGCCTGCCTTTGCTCAAAAGGAAACATGCCATTTTTTACTCCTACTCACTAAGTCAGTCTCTTTGGTTCTCCTGTTCCCAGCAGTTTAAGGCTATGCCTCAGAATTATAATATGTACTTGGTGTTTCCTTCAAGCTTTATGACTATTTGTGTCTCCTTTACCACAGCTGCCATTCACCCCACTGCCATGCAACTGGATGACAACCAAGCTGGGTTGGGAAAACACCAACTTAAAGAGGCTAGGGTTGCATTCTTAGATCTCCCTAAGAGATCTCCCGAACATGCTTTAAAAATATTTTGGGGAGGCAGACAAATAATACAGTGGTCTTCAGTACAGTTCCAGTTGACAGAATTAGGTCTGTGGATAGCTGTCACAGAGACACAGATTTTAGGCTTAATATGAAAAAGTTTTCTAAAAATCATCAACAGACCTCAAAAGAACAGACTGCTTTATCAACAAATCCTTCAATGTAATTATTTAATTAATAACATTGTAGAGATTTATGCATCATGTGAAGTTGAACCAAATGAGCTATAAATTCACTTTCAACTCTAAGATTCAATTCTACTCTTGCATACCACACTTATGACCCAACCTATCAATGCCTCACTTTAGATATTTAATACCCAGATATGAATACCAACTCTGTCATTTATTTGCCTGCAACTTTGAACAAATCATTATTTTTCTAAGAACCTTAGTTTATTCGTTTTAATAAGAAGGTCGAACTAAATGAGTTCTAAGGATCCTTTTAGTTCTAACATTTATGACTATAAATCCACTTCTAACGATTTTTTTCTATCATACCTTATATTTATATAATATTTTAGTCATCAATGATGTTTTGCTCTCTAATGTCAGGTCCTAACATTTTATACTGTACTAGAGGCCTGATGCACAAAGATTCCTGCAAGAATGGGCCTTCCTTCCCCTAGCTGTTGGCAGCACCTTTACTCTGGCTGGAGCTGCCTTTTCACTCCGGCCCAGAGCCACCTTTCCGCCGTCCCACACGCCTAGAGGCCCGGAGTGGCAAAGGTAGTGCGGAACCTGTGTATGCAAATTAACCCATCATTGTTGGTGGGCTAATTTGCATGCTAACTCCTGATTGGTTGGTGGGTGTCACAAAGAAACTATCAATTAGCATGTTACTCTTTTATTAGGTAGATTAATATATTGAATCCTTACAGTTCTCATAGGAGGGCACTGCAGCACAGAAGATTTAACTTGCTCAGAGTTATACAATTGTGGAAAGAACAAATAAAATCTCCTTTTTCAGAAAATCTGGCTGAATGTCTTCTATAAAAGCCCCTATCCCCCCAAAAAAACCTATCTATACAGAGGCACTTTACTACTTGAGTAACCTCCTAGGGAAGTAGGAAATACTCAATAGATTTAAAAAGAACTAACTGATAGATTCTATTTTAATTTCATAAAGGGAACTTACTTGCTGGGAAAGAATAGTTACAGCTTCTTTATGCTTTGTATCCCTTAAGTTAACTCCATTAACAGCCAAAATAGCATCTCCAACGTGTAGTCCTCCACATCTATCAGCAGGTTGCCCTGGCTGAATCTCAGAAATGAGAATTGGAACACCATGTTCTTTCCCACCCTAACAAAAAAGCAAAATAAAGGCAATAAATTAGTTTACTCTTCGTATAAGCACAGACTATTCTAAAAATATTTTCTTACAATATATTCATAAGCACTTATACTGATTCTATAAATGCTGAGTAAAATCTTGTTTGCTGCTTAATGATAAATAAATCGTGAGTTTCAAAGAGTTACCTCTCAGTAAAACAATAACACACATGTGCTTTCCTAAAAAGCGTCTTACAGAGCCCCCTTTCCTGCAACAACAATAAACTAAACTACTTTAAACACAAATAGGAATATCTTATGTATTAGTAGTCTATAGCACTATTCAATTTTATCAGATCTAAATCACTATGGTAACATAAACCATTCTTTTATGTACCATAAGAACAATTGTAAGCTCATAAGATGGATCTCAATTTTAGAGATGTTAAATGTGAAAAAATATGCAACACAGAATTAATGGAATGCAGTGTTTGGTACATATTACTTTCCAGTTTGTATAATAAAATTTTTATAATTTTTCATTATAAAAAAACATTCCTACATTAAGCAATACCAGAACTAAAATGAACTTATGCAGTACCTAAGTGTTGCCAAGTGAAAATTTGGGTACAACCACCTTATTCATTCACCTGGAACAAAGTACTAAAGCAATAGCAAAATGACTCCAAATATATGTGTTTGATAACAGATTGCTCTCAGGAATGTTTCCCAAGACAACTCTTTATAAAGGCATCAAATTTAAAAAGGAAGACTAGATCCAAGAGCCAGTCAAATCTGACAACAAAGAAATTAAGCAAAAGGAAGGTAACATATACTCCAGAGAAAAAAATACAATCTGGAGCCATTTAACACCGAATAGTCACATCCATTTCCAAAGGCATCACAGAATAAGATCAGAACTATGACCAGTCATAATAAAAATGTTTAACTTTATTAAAGTTATACGTAACAGTTACTAGCAAGATTTACATAGATACAAAAAAAAAAAAAAAAAAAGTTCGCAGAAAATGAGTGCCCATGGGGATAAATCCAATTACTTAGAAAATATATCCAGAATACTTTGTTTCAATGATTTCCAATGTCCTAAGGAGCATGATTATACTAGATAACTGTAGAAAAGAAGACCGGAAGCACTACTTCTTACTGTAATTGAAATGCCAAGGCCTTCATAATCTTCCTTGAGGAGGAGAACTTTTCTAATTGGACCAACACCTTGGCTCTTCTTTAAAGAGTCTTGATCCTTATTGGGGGGAGAGGAGAAAGAAGAAAAATTCGTATTAATTAAATAATATACCAAATAGAGTAAACCCATGCCGTATAACTTGCTTTTATTAAATAAAGAAATCTTTATTAATTTCCTGAAATGGATACATAGTATGTGTTAAGAAAGTAATTATAGATAAAATGGAAAAGTGAAAATAGTTTTCCTGTTAATATAATAGAATGTATAGATAACTTTCTCATCCTTTGGTCAAATTCTTTAAAATACTGATAAATCTCTTTTTAAACTGAAAGACATTATTAAAAAAATTATTGTCAGGAATTAATTGATAAACAAATATCTTCAAGAAAGAGTTTATCTTCACTGGAAAATATGGTAAAAATCTATATCTATTTTATCTGATTGTAGAAATGAAAAACAAATTACCAACTGGATCATTCATTATTTTCTCATTCCTTTGAGTTCTGGAGTCTACCTTTTAAATAAAGGACCCTGCTCCATGAATAATTTCTTCTCTGATACCTTTTCTCTTTCCATCTCTACTAAGCTACTTCCCTATTCAGCCTAAATGTCAAGCCTAAAATGTCAAGCCTCTTCCAGCTTTAAAATACTGACCATGTACAAACACCAAACAAAATAAAACCATTCAATCACTTACTATGGCCTTTAGTTATTATCCTTCTCCTCCTCCTCCTCCATCTTTCCTTGACTTTCAAAGAGTTAATCCTCACCATTATCTACTTGCTTGCCTCCCATATTCATTCTCCAACCACTGCAATTAGGGTTTTGCCCCCACCTACTCCACTAAATTGTCTTCTCTACAGTACTTCATTACCAATATGGCTATATCCAACAAACACTTTTTAGTCACCACTCAATTTGAACCTTCAGAAAGTTGATACTGTTCGCTAAACCCTCCTTGAAACCCTCTCTTTCCCTTGGTTTCTATTGCACCACTTTCCTACATTGCCTGAATCTGACAAACTCCACCTCAAACTCCTTCCTTTAGGGATCAATTCCCTTGCCTCCCTCCATAAAAGATTCTTTCCATTCTTGCCCTTCTGTTCTTTTTCCTTAAATATACTTTCCCTGGGCGACTTAATCAATTTCATAGTTTCAAATAAATAGATGATTTGTCTAATATTTTTCAACTCAAGACCTCTCTCCGAAATTCCAGTAATACATCCAATGGGACATAACTGGGCTGTCCACTGGCATTTCCTGTACTATTAATACATGTCTAAAATTGATCTCGTTTCTCCCAAACCGTCCTTTTCCTCTATTTGGTGTATAAATCAATGGCATCAAATTACTCAGTTGCCCAAATAAAAAACATAATGTCTTCCTTCTTATTCACCTACTTAACCAAAACCAAGTCCCCTTGATTCTGTCAAACCTGTCCTTCCTCCCAAATGCACTTGCCCTGCTCTCATCACTGTCTCCTCAGATTAGCATAGTATCTTTCTAATGTATCTCCTCACCTCCAATTAGACCCTCTTCCAATATATCTTCCAATACATCTTCTTCACTATACCAAAGTAACTGTCAAAAAAACGTCAAATCTTATTAAACCCACTATTTTATTTAAAAATCCCATGATTGTCAGGTTCAAATTCCAACTCTTTTATTTAGCATAAAATAATTTGTCATCTGGCAGCTGCTTGGAAGTTAATGGGGACCAACTTTGTCCCAGAGAAGACAATGGTATAAGTCTTTATTGCTATCTCCACTCCAATTCCATGTACATATCAATTCTTCTTATAATACTCTTTGTATTATGGAAGCCATGCTTTATCTGATGCTAAGATATGTGGGTCACTGAGTAGAAGTTTGATATGCTCTTATTATATTAAGGTTTGTATTATTAGACAGTTGTTGTAATGAAATTTGATAAAGATTTATCCAGATAAAAAGAAATACTCCCATACATGATGACCAAGAAAGCAGACAATTTGACACAGACCCAGATGTCTAATTCCATCTTAATTCAAGAACAGGTGTAAACATTAGTTCAGAACCTACATTTGAATCAAGTTACCAAAAATTCTCTTAAAAAACTACCCCAAAATATTTATCAATATGACTACACACACTCTGCTATGCTTAAAATGAATTTAAAACAAATTCATGCTAATCATGATCCAGGAAAATCGGAGAATATGAGACAAAGTACTAGCAATAGTTCACTATCTTCAGATCTATCAAGAGCTATGGGTTATTAAAACTTTAAATATGTATCTCTTTTAAATAAGGTTAATCCCACTTTCACTTTTTAAAGTTTTAAATACTAATAGAATACAAAAATGAAAAGGGCTTCTGATTGAAGAAAAAAGGAAGAGGCTGAGAGGGAAACAGTAGCAAAGCAAACCTACGTGGCCCGGTGGTGCCTGCATTGGTCGTTTTAGATCATTGCGTCCTCTACAGGCTCTGATGACAGTTTTGTGACGATGCAAATGTATTTCAGCTTCCAGTTGGTTCCAAAGCTTATCATGAGCAGGTCCCTTCATATCCCGCCCTAATAACTGTATTTGTTGGACCCTTCATATTGCAAAAAGAGTTAATTCAGTTAGTTTTTCATTGTGCATACTATAGAGAGAATTCAGAAGAATTACTGAACGTAAGAAGCTTTTGCAAAGATCTAAGTAATAAAGATAATACTCAGGAACCTCCCAATGTCTCTGATTTATAAGGATATGAAAACTCTGAAAAAAGAACTGTGTCTTTAAGGGAAAACCAGTTTAAAAAAATAAGACATTCGTTAGTCATATGTTTAATTCAAATACATTTAAGAAACAATTTATGATACTAATGTCAATTAACATGTATTTTATGTCTTGCATACTATCAAGATAGGTCATCAAACTCAGATACTATTGAACACTAGTCTTCAGATGAGGCTAACTATACTGAAACATTTCTTGTAACAATTTCCTTTTAAACAAAATGACTATTTTAAATGTGCTAAGTTATTAGAAAATGTGCACTTCAATACTGTTATTTTTATTTGCTCCACATCAGTTCTAATGTGACATTAAGACAATGAGTGGAAAATTATTCAGTACTAATAATAAATTAATCACCAAAGTTTGTCAATAATTCATTGTGATAATATCACTGTTATTTCAACAGTAGAGGCCCGATGCACAAAATTCATGCTAGGATAGACCTTCCTTCCCCCCTGCTGCCAGGACTAGCTTCCCTCTGGCACCTGGGACCCAGGCTTCCCTCGCAGCCCTCGCTTTGTCTGGAAGGAAGTGTGGTCTAATTAGCATATCACACTTTTATTATCATAGATATTTTTGAGGGTAAGAAAGATCAGGCTTCAGTGATCACAAAAATAATTCCTTATGGAAGGTGTGCTACACACGTGAACATTATCTGTCTTGTGTCAAGGCAAATAAGGGCTGGAAAGTGCAGCTGTAGAATTGTTCATATTCAACAGTAAATTATTATCTTATCTGTGTGTGTGTGTGTGTGTGTGTGTGTGTGTGTGTGTGTGTGTGTGTAAAACAAAAATACTGAATAAATCTGTAACATATAAGGCTAACAATATTAAGTTAACAATAGTAAGCTATAACCAACTATAAAATAACTCTATAAAACAACTCTTAGGGTAAAGACTAATGTTTCATTTACCACAGAGGTAAAAGTCAACCTCATTAAACATCCATTTGTCACCTCAGGATAAGAGTACCCATCTTTTTACACACCTTCCTGCCAGTTCCTTGTCCAAGTACTTGGCAGCCAGTCTGGCGCCGTAAACTTCCGCCTGGAGAACAGCTATATGTCTGCGAAGGGCTTCATTCTCTTTTCTCAGCAGCTTTACTTCAGCTTCAAGTTGAGCTTCTTTCATTTTTTCTTTTTTGTTTGCTTCAAGCTCTCTCTCCTATTGTAATTAAAAAACAAGCATAATGTAATGATAATACTTTGAAGATCTACAGTAGAACATATTCCTTAATACACAAAAGCACAAAGTCTAAATGACAACAATGAAAGCATGTAATAAAAATTACTACTTCATTTCTATAAAATAAGAACACAGAGATTTGGATCCAGTTCTTACTAGTACCAGAGGTGTTAGAATCACTTCTAATGAGAGTACTAAGAGACACAGTATTCTTTATTCTTTTTTGTTTTATTTTTTTAGAGAGCGAGAAAAGGAGAGGGAGGGAGGAGGGAAAGAGGGAGAAGAGGGAAGAGAGAGAGAGAGATTGATTTGATGTTCCATTTCTGTATGCATTCACTGGTTGCTTCTTGTATGTGCCATGGCCAGGAGTATTGGGACAACACTCTAACCAACTGAGCTACCCGGGCAGGGCTGAGTAGTATTTTTATGCTCATGTAGTAATATCATATAGTAATAGAAGTGGCTTCAATGAATAACTGAAAATGCTCACTATTTTCAAAAAACTACTCAAGAAACTAGGGTAAAATAAAATAGTCATTCTGGTGGTTGTGCCCAAAATTCAATTAACTTTAATGCAGTAATTTTATAAAGCTAGTCAAAATCATCCAGTTACATAGAGATATGCTCTATAGTTATCTATCTTAGGAGACTATGAAAAACTTACAATGCTAAAATTAAAACACATATTCTAAATAAAAGGAGACATTTTATGGCCATGGAGAAATGTTGGTAACAACTGAAAGAAGATCTTTACACATTAAAAATAAAGCATATCTTTTAATAATAAATTTTGAGGCCCTAGCTCATTCATTTGTCCATATGTTGAAGTGAATGAAGAACTGTTTTCTGTTTTCTGAGGAAAACACTGGCTTCACTTCCATAGCCCAATGGAAGGATGCATATCCATTTTTAGCTCCCATAAAAAGATGTCATCCTATGCTCCACGAGTAGATAGTCCATATGTGTGAATTTATAGGTGTTAGCCAGAGGATAAAACCTCAAGATCTTCACCACCAAATTTTTATCATAAGCTTACATGTGAGAAATAATGTTCAATTTACCTTAAAAGTAGGAAGTACAGTATGTACAAATGTAAATACCATCAGGATCCAAACATAGACCAGAGGCAGGTACAAGATAACTTAGGAGAATAGAAAACTGAAGGTACAAAATCCTGCCTGAAGGCAGTCAAATTCAAATTCACACACAAACAAAAACAACCCTGATAGATATTTTAAGTGTTATTTTTAAAACCCTAAACACTGCAACCTTCCATCTATCCTGAGTAGAACTGAAAACTTTTACTGATTTACAAAACTGCTTTTTCTGCCTCACTAATTCATGGAACTTAAAAAGCCTGTGAAAATATAGTTATATCTGCTAATAAGATGTGGAAAGCACATCACTATACTGCCAGGTCCCCTTTGTGAGCCATAAAAGACTTACTATAGCACCAGGAAAAGTTGTTTATCTTGAGCAAAGGCAAATGATAGTTTCTATTGTTTGGGCATTGATTATTATAATTATTAGTTTTTATTCTGGATATTAAGCTGAAATATTTAAACAAATTTTTAGCAATTCATGTTACCAATATATTAAAGGTACTAATTTGGTCTACTGTTTTGACTACAGTACATCAGCATTTGCTATAGTTAATACCAATAGATAATATATTCAAATATTAAGACAGTGAGTACCACAATCTTAACAAAAAAATTATACAAAGCTAAAATAAATGACAACTTTTGTGATTAAAAATATTTGTTATGTATGTGGATAAGCAGAAAGAAATTAATCTGCAGGCTTTTACAATTTGTTTAAAAAATAATGAGTAGAATATCATTTTTAGATATTGTTTTAAAAAATTTGCACAAATAATAATCCTTTTCAAACAACCTTCGAATTATTAATATGCCTATTTATTTCAGAATCTATTCCTCAAAAAAGGAGGTATCAGTTCTAAAAAAAAACCATGGTTTAGTTTACATTAACAAGATTTTTTTTAAAAATATATTTTATTGATTTTTTACAGAGAAGAAGGGAGAGAGATAGAGAGTTAGAAACATCGATGAGAGAGTCATTGATCAGCTGCCTCTTGCACACCCCCTACTGGGGATATGCCCACAACCAAAGTACATGCCCCTGACCGGAATCGAACCCGGGACCTTTCAGTCCGCAGACCGACGCTCTACCACTGAGCCAAACCAGTTTCGGCGACATTAACAAGATTTTTTAATGACATTTATTGAGGTTAATGCCATTTGTTTCAGAAAAAGAGTTCCTAAAGACCAAGAATTCTTTGGTTTACTGGCCAAATAAACTTTACATTGAGAATTATCTACTTACAATTACTTTAATGAGCTATTTACACAAAATTTATGAAATCTAAGTAACATAATAAGCCACTGCTTTGCTTTAATGATTCAAACCCCTAATGAATCTGACAAACTCTCAGGCCTGAAATTAAAAGATAAAAGGAAAAAATGAACTGAGAAAACTAAACTTGATCACTTCTAGATTTAAAACAAAACAAAAAAAAGCACAACTTGGTTATTATGCGAGGGCTGAGGGCAGCAGCTACAGGTATGAAGGCTGAGCTCCTTGCACAACTATTGTGCATCAAGCCTCTAGTTAGATAATAATCAAGAAGTTCATTTTGTATTTAGATAGCCAAACAGTATTTTTCAAAAAAAAAAAAAAAAAAAAAAAAAAAAAAAGGGAAGCCATACAACAAACTGGAACTTGATTAGGTTGGGGTAGTGTGAAAAATATTAAGAATTTATATACTGTTATTTTCTAAAATGATTTCTGGTAAAGGATTTTAAAATTCAGTAAAGCCACACAATTATTCCGAAGACTGCTACAACACATGCAGTGGATGAATAAGAAACCAACATGCACATTCTTTCTCTGGGAATAAATTCAAATAGCAAAGAGGGAAGCTGGGCCTGTTTAATATTTTCAAAACACTCAAGTGGAAAAACCAATTGCTCTTTTGGAGTAAAGGTGTGAACAAGTTACCAGGCTGAGAAGTTGTTAAAAACTGATGAGCTCTGCAAATAAAGGCTACAAATTACAAACACAAGAAAAATCTTTAACAACATTAGTGAGAAAAGAGCAATGGGCCATCCACTGAACTTTTCAGGTACTAGCGCATTTAAAAATTACCATCAACATCATTTTCAAATACAGTGTGCAAAGAAAACACTAGGAACACTTAAGCGTGACATTTTAAAGCAAAACAGAAACAACATACTTACCAGCTCCTCCACAGAGGGGACAGACTTAAGATATAAGAAAAAAGTTTTATAATTAGAAAAACATCAATCAAATAAATTTATCTAGTGGTATTATCACTACAAGGAAAACTTCCATACGATGAATAATATTTGGATAAAATTCGTTACAACAAATATATGTGCAAATTCACAAGCAATCAAATAGTAACGGTATAGTATTAGATTAAAATTTTTTGTTTTATCAACATTAGTCACCACACGTGGTTCAGTGTCGTTCCACGTCGTTCCACTATAGCAGCCTATATTCAATCTAATGTTAAAACTTTATGTAAATTCCTTCCTAGTGAAAATGCACATTGTTTTCTCAATGTTAATATTATCTATTCCAAAGAAGTTGTTATCTGATTTGTGTCAGTTAAATAAAACACTACTAACTTACATTCATAAAATTTCAGAATTTAAAATTACTTTGGAAGAATATAAATATTCATTAAATTAAATTCTAACATATTAGTATTAAAAACTAACCAACTGAATAGAATTAATTAAAAACAAGTAAAACTTAAAAATGTATTTTACTGTCATCATTAACTATGTGGCCTGCAGTTAACAAAGTGTCTGGCACATAATATATACTCAAGACACGAATTAAGCTGAAATTAGACTTAAAAAATATTTACCTAAACAGCCTATACTGATTAAGAGGGCAATAACTAATAATGGAAAATTCATACAATGAAACATTATGCAAAATAAAAAATTTTCAAGTGGCAGGGAAAATATCTACAATATATTTAGAGTAAAACAAAACATGTACCGTTGGTTGGCACCCAATCCATTTTCCCCTTGTCATTATTAACAGAACTCTAATTTAAATGGGGATGGCCATGTGACCCACTAAGAGACTGAAAAGCAGCTGAGGATAGCCAATGAAATGGCCAAATTGACTGGCAAAAACTATTGAGGAGTTCATGAGAAATTCTTGAAAGAAGGTTAATGCATCTGCGAATCATTCTTTTGCCCTTCCCTAGACTCTGGAATGCAGACCTAAACAAATCCTGAGGGTAGAAACATGAGCTTAAAATGACAGAGCATAGTAACAAAAGGAAGCCAGATCCCTGATATCTGTGGAGCTGCCATATCAGGTCTATACTGTCTGTCTCAGAGCTTCTTTAATTGAGAAAAAATAATATATAGTATTCAAGAATAAATAATTTATACTATTCAATATAGTATAATCCCAATGTTACTTGGGATTTCTGAACTTAATGCTGACACAGTAGAGCAAAAAAATTGTTTATATGCTATAATCTCAAATATCTTTTAAAATATATTTATAGATATTTTTAGATAGGAAAAATCCTATTCTAAGTATCCATTGGTTATTGATATTATCACTGGTCTTTTCTGGGGATGAGATTTTTGAATGATTGCACTGATATTTACATTTCCTGTATTTTCTAAAATTCCCACAATGCACACATATTACCTTTTATAATTAACAAGCCTCACTAAAAATTATTCCCTTCATCCTCTAAAATGCATCTAAGTATAAGTTACCCTATAAACTACTTACCAGTTTTGCTTTAATGGTACCAGAGTCCACACTTTGACCAGTTTTAGCATGAAGCTGGAGCTGAACAGAGTGCAATTGTAAAAGCTGATCATGTACTTCTTTCTCCAGTACGACTTTCTCCGCTTGTGTCTCTGTCAGTTCAGATTTCAGATCCACCAACTGTGCCTTATAAAACAATAACAACATTAAGTATGCTTCATTTTCTTTACTTTTGATTCTAATTATTATTTAAAAATGAAATAGAAAGACTGTCTTTGAAATGAATAGATGAAGACTAGAAGACCAGTATCTGATTGAGCTACATAGAACACCCAGGTACACTGACAAAAAGTCAATAGTGCAAGATATTTGAGTGACAAGAGAACTGTATCACAAATATTAGCCTATCTAATAAAAGGGCAATATGCAAAATAACCATACTCTGTCACAAAGATGGCGGTGCCCAGTCCTGGCAAGGGGAGGGAAGGTGGCGGGTGAGTGGCCCGGCAGAATGCTTGCTTCTTCGCCGTGGTGACGAGGCAAGCATTCTGCGCCCAGCTGCAAATGGGCCTCTGGGCTGCAGAGAGCCTCTGGGCAGCAGGCATGGAGCGGCCAGGCCCCGCAGAGAGCTACTGGTGCACGGATTTGTGTGCAGGGCCACTAGTCTTCTATTAACACAGAATGCTACTTCATTTTACTTTACTTGAAGGCTTTCACTGTTTCCCCTTTATCTACGTACAAGGTTTATGAAAATATAGGGTATGGGATGGTTCACCATCCTGCAGAGCCAATATGTGCTTTAGTGGTGAACTAATACTAAAGGTGTCTTAGAGGAGAGTCCAGTAAGTGGTGCTTTGTCCTATCCTGAAGAACACTAGCCCAAATCAGCCCAACCACTATCTAATACTTTAGATGCTGAAGTGTGAGTTACTGAGGCTACAGTGGGTCTTCAGATCAGAATTAACTGCAGAACACCTCATCAGAAACATTTATCAATTTAATCTGAAGTTTTTCATTTTTCACAACATATTGCTTTGCAATAGTGCATAGAATATGTTCTTCATGTGTGTTTGGTCTTCCCTACTAACCAATTGATTAAAATCAAGGCAAGGCCTTAGTTTTCTATTCAACATGATTTTACAAAGCATCGAGGGGCTCAGATTATGTCAGCACAATGAGAAAAAAAATCTGTGAACATACTTTAAAAATTATAATTATTTATGCCCTTGAGAACCTTTCTTATCAACGGAGGTGATAAATATGCATGCACACCAAATAAGAAAAATGTGGCAAGCTACAGATATATTTAGAATTGATCTGGTCCCAAGGCATTCAAAGCAAAGGAAGGCTTTAAGAAGGTTAGTAAAGACAGAGTTTAGAAGGGCTTTGAAAGAAAAAGACAACAAGGGCAAAAGAGAAGCAATTAATCTAGAAATGGGAAGACTAGCAAAGTCAGAGAGAGACTAGAAGCAATTCAGGTAAATTCTGAGTACAGAGACAAGAGGAATATCTCTCTACTAGAGCCCCAGTGCACGAAATTCGTGCCCTCGAAGGTCCCTTAGCCCGTGCCCTCTCACAGTCCAGGAGCCCTCAAGGGATGCCTGACTGACAGCTTAGGCCCACGGGGAGTGGGCCTAAGCTGGCAGTTGGACATCCTTAGCGCTAACATGGAGGAGGAAGAAGTTCCAGCCACTGCTGCTGCACTCGCCAGCCATGAGCCCAGCTTCTAGTTGAGTGGGACTCCCCCTGTGGAAGTGCACTGACCACCAGGGGGCAGCTCCAGCATTGAGCATCTGCCCCCTGGTGGTCAGTGCACATCATACCAACCAGTCATTCCGCCGTTTGGTCGATTTGCATATTAGCCTTTTATTATATAGGATATCCCAACTGTACCAACCAGTGCCTTCTACATAAAAGATGCAAAGAGAGAATGCAGGTATCAAAATTCAAAGCCCAATTTTATTTTCCAGGAACACGACAAGTGTTTAGAATTTACTCTAAATTTAGTAATATTTACTAGTAAATAACCACCAAAATTTGTGCACCATGGGGGTCCCTCACTTTGGCCTGGGAGATCAGGCTGAAACTGGCTCTTCTATATCCCAAGAGGTCTTGAATTGCAAGAGGGCACAAGCCAGACCGAGGGACCCACCAGTGCAAGATTGGGTCCAGGGAGAGATGCAGGACGTTGGGCAGCTTAGGGGGGAGGGGGGCGGTGGCGCGCGCATGGGAGACCATGGGAGGGCTCCAGGGCATGTCCAGCCCGTCACACTCAGTCCCAATCGGCCAGACCCCAGCAGCAAGCTAACCTACCCCTTGGTGGTCAATGCACATCACAGCAAGCATTTGAGTGCCTGTCCCTTGGTGGTCAGTGCACATCACAGCGAGCATTTAAGCAGCCTTAGCATATTATGCTTTGATTGGTTGAACAGCCAACATGTCGACCAGACACATAGCATATTAGGCTTTTATTATATAGGATAATAAAGAGCTAATATGCTAAATAGACCAAACAGCAGAACAACCTTCTGGATATCCTTCCAGACAAAGCTGGGGCTGTGAGGGGCTGCAAGGGGCTGCGAGGGCTGGCCAAGGCTGCAAGGGGCTGCAAGGGCTGGCAGAGGGTACGAGGGCCGGCTGAAGCAAGCAGGGCTGCGAGGGCCAAGCCCCTTGCAGGAATTTCATGCATTGGGCCTCTAGTCCCATATGATAAAAGGCTAATATGCAAATCGACCATACAGCAGAACAACCAGTCACTATCATGCACATTGACCACCAAGGGACAGAGGCTCAATGCCGGAGATGCCCCTTGGTGGTCAATGCACTCCCATAGGGGGAAGCACTACTCAGCCAGAAGCCGGGCTCATGCTGGCGAGCGCAGCAGCAGTGGCAGGAGCCTCTCCCACCCGAGGCAGTGCTAAGGACCCCCTTGGGTGTCCTGGACTGCAAGAGGGCACAGGCCAGGCTGAGGGACACCCCCAGTGCATAAATGTCGTGTACTGGGCCTCTCGTCTATAATATAAGCACTGCAGCTGTTAAGTTAGTCATTGGTAAGTATGTCAAGATTTAAAAGTTCCATATTTTTATTTAATGGTTACCCTCCGTATGTCACAGAATTTTAGAATTCAAAGAAATCTTAGAGAATATAAAGACTATAATTATGACAATTAATATTGAGATAATAAAGCCAAAGCCCATCAAGGCTGTTTTTATTTCTAGGACTACTCAATTTGTCAGTGGCAAAACAGCACTTTGAATCCAATTCTTACTCTCAGGGCAAGGTAGCGGAAGTGTTAAGCAATTAACCATAAGAAAAAAAATGTTTCAATAGCTACAATACATATGTATTACTAACAATATTCAAAGCTACCACAAAGCAAGTACCTACTTACCATATGATAGGTATATGCATCATACATTATCTGTCATTCTTATCTGTCAAAACATCCAACTTTTCCAAGATAATTCCTTTCTAATATACCGTTTAACCACTGATTCCACTCTGTGGCACCAAAAAAATAATTTTTTATTCAGTTTTCTATTATTTCACTTTGCTAGACCTTAATCTTCTGTCTATATGATCTTTGAAAAATATATAACAATTGTACAGTTTTCATTCTGATCTAAACATAAACTTAAAAATTCTTTAGCACTCTTATGGCTAACATTGCAACTCCACCTGTTTGCTTCCATTTCTCTATCCAAGCATAATGATCATTATTTCCATCTGTCATTATTTCTCCCCAAACTGTTCTGCAGTTCAAGACAAGCAAACATATTTTTACTTTCAGTCTCCCACACCATCCCACACTCACTCAACAAGAATTTATTAAGCATCCAATACTAGTATATGCCAAGCACTGGGCCGGTTCTAGGGATATGCTGGTAGACAAAACAAATGTGGATCCTGCCCTGCAAAGTGTAGAGAAGCCTGGTACAGGAGGCAGCTCCTGCGGTAATAACAGCATAATGTGTGCCAGGCACTGTTTTAAACATATTCAGATTTTAATTCCCTTAGTCCTAACAATAATCCTCTGAGAGACATCATTTTTGTACAGAGAAGGAAACGGAAGCACAGAGAGGTTAGGTAACCTGTCCAAAGACATTACGGAGCCAGAATAAATGCAATTACAAACTGTAATAAACTGTATGACAGAAAGTAAACGAAGAGAATTAGTGGGGTGGGAGTGTATGGCTAGCCATCTGGGAAGTGTTTTGGTTATTATCACGGCAGCAGTTCTCATAGGTCTGTGGGATCTTTCCAGAAAACCCACAGGTCAAACTGTTCTCCGAATAATAAAATATATTGCCCCTTCCATTGTGTTGACATTGCAAAAGCAATGACAAACCAAATGCTGCCACTTTACTACACGTCCATACAGCGCACCAGACTGTACCAATAGTTACTGTACTCTGTGCTGTGAAGCTGCAGTTTAAAAAGCCTACTTAATAATATCTTTGATGAAGCAGTAAAAATGGATTTTTTAAAATCTTGACTCTTGAGTACAAATCTTTTTAATATTCAGAATGATGAAATGGGAAGTATGCACTAAATTTATCTGCTAAATATCAAACTACATTATCTCAAGGAAGTTATACAACTGCCTGAATTGCAAAGCTGAACTTTTTTTTTTTGTGGGACACTATTTTTATCTGAAAGAAGAACAAATTATGGTTCTTAACACATTGTAGTTTTATTGCTAGCTTTACCTAGTGGCCAGATAAGTTTCTATTGAACGAGTATAAAAATGTTTTACATAAATGGTAAAGGCACGCTTTAAAATTAAATACCCATTGCATTTTGAAGTTATTTATTACATGTTTTTACAATTTAACATCTTTTAAAAAGTATGGTACTTTGTAAACACCATGTAATATGAAGTGAGAATTCTTGTGAAGCACGATTACAGAGGCATGTGTGATGTGCCAATTAAATAATAAGTGAAGGAGGTCAGCCACAAAGGAGAAAAAATTTACCCGAGTGTTGAATGGGAATCAGCTAATACAAGGAGTGGGAAGAGGAAAGGTCTGAGATATGAAAACCCCTAGCAGGTGAGACAGGGATATAGGTAGGTCAGAAAGGTGGGTGTCTAATGTGCATTTCAATTTTTTAATTTTAAAGGGGGCAAAACATCAATTCTGTAATCTATATGTAAGTTAACTTAATAACCATATTCAAAGGAATTACTCACTACTCAATATGGTCTGGGAGCACTATAGAGAAAAACACAAACAGCTCTCAAAAATCAGATCTGTTACCCTCTTAAAGCCATCTTCACAAAGAGTTCACCTTCTCTAGAACTAGAGATGTGGTAACCACTATTCCAGTGTGCACAAGGTAACAGTCAAAGTGAGTTCAAGGGGTTATGACAGCCTCTTCCTATAGGCAGATGGGTGAGAAAAGCCTTCAGAGATGGTGATGTAAGTGGTATCTTGAAAGATGAGTGGGTGTTTGACACTGTGGACAAAGGGGACAGAGAAAGCATTATACACAAGAGCCTATGCCAAAGAAGAAATGCCACAGAAAAGCAAGGCCTATTTACAGAACTGCCAATAGACCAGTTTGAGGCAAAAGAAGCAAAGAAGAAGTGACAAAAAATAAGGGCAGACAGACTGAGCATTGATCACCATGCTACAGAGTTGAGTTTTAGCCAAGAAGGAATAGGGAGGTAAAAAAGAAGAGTGACAGAATCAGAGTTGTCTTTTTTAACATGAAACATTTTTAGAATGGTTTTGATAACAGATGGTTTGAAGGGAGTAAGAAGCAATTAGGAGACTGTAACAAATATACAAGAAAAGATAGGGACTGTTAAGAATATACAAGAAAGGATAGGGAATGTTAGGAAAGATAGGGACCTGCACAATCTCCTAAATTCACTTCTCTTTTCTGCCAGACCTGCTCCTGGTAAATGGTATAACATACCATTGCTTCAGTGAATTGCATAAGTCTCCTAGAGCTGTCATAACAAATCACCACCAACTTGGTGGCTTAAATGAACAAAAACTTATTCTGTCACAGCTCAGGAAGCCAGAAGCCCAAAATCAAGGTGCTGGCAGAGTTGGTCTCTTCTGGAGACCCTGAAGGAAAAATGTCCCGGGCCTATCTCCTAGCTTTTGGTGGTTGCCAGCAAGCACTGGCATTTCTTGGCTGGTAGACCGCTCACTCCAAGCTCTGATTCCATCTTCACAAACCCTTTTCCCTGTGCCTCTGTCTCTTACCAGGACACTTGCTTTGAATTCAGGGCCCAGGCTAATCCGCTATGATCTTATCTCCATATTTATATTAATGACACCTGCAAAGACCCTATTTCCAAAAAAGGACACATTCTGAGGTTCCAGGTGGACATAAATTTGGGGAGACAATACTGAACCCACTACAGGCATCAATCAATACTTCCCAAATGGAAACGTGGAGTCATCCCTAACCTTCCTCTTCCTCATCCTGTGCATCTATAATACATTAGTTACCAAACCCTGCTCCTAGTTCTTGAACGGAAGATTATCTCCCTTTCTTCACTCCCATTGCATTTTCATTTCAATAGCAACCTTGCCTATGTAGCAAACTTCTTGATGAACTCTACTATTACTCCCATTGCTGTGCCTGTTACTGAACAAGCTAAGTATTGCTGGGGATAGTCACACAACAAGGCAGACTGGTTGTACAATGAGATGCCAAAGCCAAATGGTCCTCAACATCGCCTGGCAGTCCTTCCATTTCTCTGACCAACTGCCCCTCCCACTCTGCGAAATCTTAACCATTTCCAACCTTTTCCCTCTCCTCAAGCTCTCGCTTTCACCCACTTTTAGGAGTTGTCCGGGCTCCTATTTTACAGAGACTAAAGAATCCCCCCTCCTCAACCTTCCACCTTCTGCTCTTATCTCTCCTTTCTCTCTACTTATAACAGCTGACCTTACAAGACAAGACCATTCAATCTACATGTATTTAGGAACTCATCTTCATTCGGGGACCTTATTAATACCAACATACTTCTTTTTCTGAGTCTAGACTATCCACTTTTCCTCTGAACTATATGGTTCTCATTGGCTTATAAATATGTTCACGTTTGTTTTTTTTGTGGTTTTTTTTTTTTTTTTTTAATTTCAAAGCAAAATGAAAACAACCCTCCCTTGAATGTCACACTCTCCCTCCCAGCTATCGACCCGGCCACTCACTTAATCCCTGTAAAATGGGAATAACAACACTAAACCTGTCCCACAGGGCTGTGGTGAGAATTAGGTGAATCAATATGCCTGAGAGACTTAGGACTGTAAACAGAGAAGGACATTGATACTATCGTGCTTATCCCGCTAAATTTTCCTAAGAGCTTTGCTCAAATTCCCCTAAATAGTTGATGCATGCAGGAGATAGTATGTCTGTTGTGTGCAACAACAGACACGGACCTGAAATTGTTAAAATAATAACAACAACCAGGGCTGTGTGTCTGGTGATATACACCCCGAGTTCATCCATATGAAGGGAGGTGTAAACACTAAAAGTTAAAGGGTGGGCGGGGGTGTCCTAAATGACAGGCCACCCTTAGGCTTCAGCGTCGGTGAACTGCAGTGTGAAGGAGCAGCCGGTGGAATGAGACCCTCCTCACTGAGTAGGGAAGGGGATGATGGCACCCGAGACCCACATGTAGATCTACACCCCCCCTTTCTAGTCCAACCTCACCTCGCTCCTTTCCTTCTGCACACGCACACTCACACATACACACACCCTCACACACACTCACACACATACACCCTCACACACACACTCACACACACACTCACACACCCTCACACACATACACCCTCACACACACTCTCTCACACACACACACTCACTCACCCACACTCACACGCACACTCACACACACACACTCACTCTCACACTCTCACACACACACACACACTCTCACACACACACACACACACACACACACACACACACACACTCACTCTCACCCTCACACACACGCCCCCGGCCCTGGGGCCGGCACCCAGCGGGCAGCTTCCGCCGCTCCTCGGAGGCCCCCCTCACTCGGACCCGGGCGGGGGAAGCGGCCCTCGGCCCGGCTCACCTCCAGCTTGTGGTTGATCTGGGACACGGTCTGCACTTTGTGGCAGAGCTGCGCGAAGCAGGAGCTCAGGCTGGTCATCTTCTGCCGCCCCTCGTACGTGATGTCCGCCTGGTCCGGGTCGATCTCGCCCAGGAGCAGGTCCACGTCCACGAACGCCTTGTCGAACTCCTTCTCCAGCACCTCCAACCACCGGAACATGGACACCCCGCCGGGGGAGGCGCCCCCGGGCCCCCCGCCGGCTCCCGCCGGGCACGGTCCGCCCGCCGACATGGCGCCGCCGAGGCCTCCCCCGGGTGCCGCGGACCCGGCCGCCCTCCGCGCGCGAGAGGAACTGCTGGGGCTGCGGGGGCCTCGCGGGGCTAACGCCGGCCACGCAGCCCCGAGCGGCGGACGCGGGAGGCTGGGTCGGCGGCGGTGGCGGCGGCGGCGGCGGCGGCACACGGAAGGACCCGCGGTCCCACGTCCCCGCCAGCCCAGGCTGCGCATGCGTAGGCGGAGACGCCGCCGGCGGAGCGATGTGGGCGGGACTAGGAAATGGTCTGGGCCAATGAAAAGTCTCCGCCGGTGGGCCGGCCGTCGGCGGCCATTTTGACTACTGGCAAGCTCCTGCCTGAAGGCCGGGGGAAACGGGACCACGATGTTGGCTTCCAAATTGGAAAGGCCCAAGGAAGGGCAGGGCGTCCACGTCTCAGAGAGGACCGGCTGCGGCTCGGCTGACTTCACGGTGGGCGGGCCGACCTGAACTTGCCCAGGAAAGGGGCGGCGGTGACGTCTCGGGGGCCGGGAGGTAAGCGGGAAGGAGGGCGCTGTGAGCGTGCGCAGTGGCCACGTTTTACCTGGAACACCCAGTTCCTGTTTGGGGTGCGGCGGCCGGACGCACCGGCTCTTCTGGGGAAACCAGGCCCCACATTCCGGGTGCAAACTGGAACTGCACGTGGAAGGGCCGCGGCTGAGCAGGGTTGGCTGAATTAATGCGAGACTGGCCTTGCGAGTGAGAGGCGGACATGGGTTCAAGTCTTAAAATCTCGCAAATTATGAGCTGTGCCATCTTAGCTGTCTTCTCTAACCTGGAAGCCTCAGTTTCCAAAATTCACTTCTCTCAGGGATAAGGTAAAAGGCTGAGCTTCAGTGCTTGGCCCTTGGTATTCCTTATGACTCCATCGTTTCCAAAGCATCTACTTTAAAAAGTGCATTTATTTCAGCCAAAACCGGTCTGGCTCAGTAGATAGAGCGTCGGCCTGCGGACTCAAGAGTCCCCGGTTCGATTCCAGGCAAGGGCATGGGCCTTGGGAGCGGGCACATCCCCAATAGGGGCTGTGCAGGAGGCAGCTGATGGATGTTACTCTCTCATCGATGTTTCTAACTTTCTATCCCTCTCCCTTCCTCTGTAAAAAAAAAAATCAATAAAATATATATATTTTTAAAAAGTGCATTTATTTCAGAAATGGTGCCAGTGTTTCCACCCATAACATTTCAGAAAAACAGTTATAATGAGCCATGCATCCATAAATATATTGAGTGCAGAAGCATGGTGAGGCATTGGGGACACAGAGATAAATGAAACATGATCCTCATTCAAGCAGAACCCACCGCCTGGTGAGTCTAACCCTCAGAGCTACAGCTTTCATTTGAATTTTGCAGTCAGTGCCTTAGGGAGCGTTTAGCAACTGGTCTTGACCGCCCCTCCTACGCATGTTCAGCCCCCTTCCAACCTCAAGAGGAGCCCAGCCTTGGAAACCAAAGGAATCGCCGTCGGAAGAGAGTGGGCTGGTAGGAACTGTCTCTAATAAATTGCCCACGGGGAACATTTTCCCGGCTGACTGCAGAACCTTCTGTGATCCCTTCACGGTCCACTCTCCCAGCTAATCACCATGGAAGGCCGCACTGTGTTCCCCTTGTCAACGCAATGCCAACGGAGAAAGAAAGATCAAAAGATCGCAGATCGCAGCTTTAGCCGAAACCGGTTTGGCTCAGTGGTAGAGCATCGGCCTGCGGACTGAAAGGTCCCGGGTTCGATTCTGGTCAAGGACATGTACATTGGTTGCGGGCACATCCCCGGTAGGGAGTGTGCAGGAGGCAGCTGGTCGATGTTTCTCTCTCATCGACGTTTCTAGCTCTCTATCCCTCTTTCCTCCTCTCTGTAAAAAATCAATAAAATATATTTTTTTAAAAATCGCAGCTTTAGTCTGCTCGGTGAGTACTGCATGGCAGACTGGTCAGAATTGGTCAAGGAAGTCCTTTGGCTTCAGCAGATTTTAAACTAAGCATCACTAGCCACGAGATCTTTGCCTTGAGCCTTCATACCGTTTAATACACAGAGATAATATGAAACTAAAATTTGTATCTTCATCACCCTCCAAATTAACTTTAGTATCTGTAAGAACATCATTACTACAGCTACTTTATACATAATATGACTTAGCAGTGCATTTTCAGAAATTGGAAGCAAATAATTCAAAATTGGGGCGAGACTCCTAACCAGTTTGGCCCAGTAGATAGAGCGTCGGCCTATAAACTGAAGGGTCCTAGGTTCAATTCTGATCAAGGGTATGTACCTTGGTTTCCAGCACATCCCAGTAGGGAGTGTGCAGGAGGAACTGAATCAATGTTTCTCTCTCGTTGATGTTTCTAACACTCTATTCCTCTTCCTTCCTCTATAAAAAAAAAAAAAAAAAAAAAAAAAAAAAAAATCAATAAAAATATATTTAAAAAATAATAAAATAAAATTGGGGGGTCAGATACCTAGAATCACAGTAAAATAGCTTTCAATTATGGAGTGCATACTATATGTTAGGCATGTGCTGTTTGCTTTGCTTCTTTGACCATCACAGAGCCTATGAGGTAGCTATTACCACTTTTTTGTAGATGAGTTACAAAGAGTTGAAGTATCTTGGTAAGGTCACACACCTAAAAATGGACCGAGATGAGATTTAAATCTAGGTTTCTTTTTCTCCAGTCTTAGTGGTTAGACACCTCTTCAGGAGGCACGAGGAAAATTTCTTCTTATATAAGTTAACAATATAATAAATTGGTAACCAGTCAAAAGCTTTTTCAAAAACATAATGTTTCCCATTATGCCATATGCAAATCTATTAATAAATAAAAAATATTTCCAAAAAGTAATTGTAGCGCTCATTTCTATTATTTATCACTCTCTTTAGTTATATGGACTACACTTAAAAACACATTTCATTTCTTTAAAAAAAATATTCAACTTCCTGTTATATTGTGGGTATGCCCGAAATACATTTTTAGTGTTTATGCATTTCCATTGCTCTTACTTTTGGGGAGTGCTCCCATTTTTAGGATCGTAGAACCCAGCCCTATTTCTGTTTACAATCTTTAACAAGTCACACCCTCTGTGTCTCAAAATACTCTCATCTCATATCATCCCTTCTCGTTACGGTGTAATGTAGCAGCTACCACATCTATATGTCCTTGCTACCTCAGTGTTGTGTGGCTATTTCAAATACTCCTAGTGCACTCTATGTAGAAACATCAATTATGTTTGCTCACATTGATTGGGGTTTTGCATTTCTGCGAGTCACAATCTAACGTGGAAGTGAAAAGCAGGGTTTTATGTTCCAGTGCTGCCATCTGTTGGCAGTGTGCTCTATCTACACTTATTGCTTTATCTTGACCTACTCTGGAATTTGGAATGGTGTGTAATCTCAATACTTATGGGATTTATATTCCAAGAGATATTAAAATCTTGATATTTATACTCAAAATTGCCTTGGAGAAACTTCCAATAACTGTTTCATGAATCATGCATATGTGATTAAACATTTCTAATATAACTTATATGTGACAGTCTTTTTCTTAGAAACGTATATTTATCAGAATTTTACCAGAAGAATAAATAGGGTGGGGACTGAGAAAAATGGGCAAGAGGAAAGATGGAAAAAATTTCTTTGGTAGGTACTGGTAATTATCTGTAAAGTTAGAGCTCAAATATTTATTACAGCAACATTAATTGCAAAGGCATTGTACTAAAGGGACATACACGTTCTGCCTTGAACTGGCGAGGGAGACTAGCTTTAATTGAACTCTGCTCAGTGCCAGCCCTATACTAACTTCACATGTATCATTTACTCTCCAATATCCCTACCAGGAAAAGGGAAGATACTAAGTACTTTTGTTCGCAGTAAGCAATTCTATGATGAATAGAGAAAACCGAGGAACACTCACTACCATTTTATTTGAGCTATGTGGGAAAATTCTCTAGGAGCAAACAAATTAAAAAAGAATCATATTCCCAATATGTGGGAAAAGTTCTGGAATGTATCATTTTCGTATATCTTATTTATGTTATATTTATTCATTTATTAACAATTTGAAATTTTGTGACAGACATGCTAACAAAGTAAATTTAGGCATCCCAAAGTGATTTATTAGCCTCATTCCCCTGATGATTTTCTTAAAATATATTTTTATTGATTTCAGAGAGAAGTGGAGAGGGGGAAAGAGATAGAAACATCAATGATGAGAGAAGCTCATTGATAGGCTGCCTCCTGCACACTCCACCCTGGGGATGGAGCCAGCAATCCAGGCATGTACTCTTGACCAGAATTGAACCTGGGGCCTTTCAAGTCCACAGGCCAATGCTCTATCCACTGAGCCAAAGCAGGGAGGGCCTGATCATCTCTTTCATGTACATTTACAAAACAACTGTTTGCTCTCTTGTTCCTAAAACTTTAGAATTTTGATGCAGTGGTTTGGGATTAGCTCAGACACCTTTTCCAGGAAGCAATCCCTTTTTTCTCCTCACACGAAGCTATGGACTCCATCCCCATTCAGTGTCCGGCAAACACCTGCCGTAGCATTTATCGTATGTTTCCTTGGAGCCCCTTAGACTGTGAGATCCTTAGCAGCAATAACTGTGTCTCATTGATCTTTGAGTCCTAGGTCCTAACACAGGACCTAGAATATGGTAGGAATGCTAGAAATATTTGTCTGGTCAGTTGAATAATTAGAATCGTACAACATTCTACCAAGGAAGTCCTTTTTCAAGACATACTTTGATACCAGCTGGAGAGCACAGTTAAACATATATTTATATTGGTTCTGGGTTTAGGAATATCTATAAAATACATGTTAAATATCCAAAATATACATATTTCTTTAAAAGCCAAGAAATATTTTTTTCCCAACCTAAAGAGAAAAGTTTATTTAACAACTGTCTGGTTGACTTGACTAATAAATCCATTATAATTTAGGATTTAATAATTGTTTTACCTATTTTATAGTTAAAATGTATGAGGTACTAC